CTTACAGATGGTAGTCTGATCCCAAACTAAGCATAGCCTGTTTAGACTGTTATTTTTTTATTCAACTTTAAAAATGAATTTAAGCGCTTCAATTTGAATGTGAAAGTTGCAATTCAATTGTAATTCATTTAAATTTTGGTATACTTATGGAGATACCTGGTGGCAAGTGACTGCCACCGCCCACTACCAATTCAAAATTCGCAATAATTGCCTTGCCGTCCTGTGAGTCCTTCCCCTGAATTAGAGGGCTCCTATACTGGGAAGCAAGACAATCTTCGCGAAACTGATGTCAAATAACAAAATTTAGGATATATAGGATTTAAAAATAATATTATTATTGGTAAATAAAGGCTATTACCGTGGGAGAACCATACTTTGGCACAAATGGGAAGACTCGACTGGGGTGATACCATGGCCTCACATACCCAGTAGTGCTATTCTCTAAAGAAACAGCCTTGCGTACCCCTCGGGCCTTCACCCCACCGGGGTTTGAGGCGGGGTGGTGTGTCGGAATCGGACCGACTAAAACCACACGGTGTGCCACTCTGCACCGGTAAGACAAGGGATCCGGGAGCTGCTGTTATTGTACAGCACTGGCACACTGCCAAATTTCAAACGAACTTAGTTTGAAAAGCTACGCTATGATAGCGCTATAGCGTCAAATTTCAAACGAACGTAGTTTGAAGTTCGACGCTAGCTGTGCGCTAGGCTGTTTCCTTAGAGAATAGCACTGCAGGAGGGGTGGGGGGTTGGTCACCTTACCTCACACACTCGCATACAGCGCACTTGAGTCTTAAGTTAAATGTTTTTTATGCTTTTAAGTTTTAAAGTACGTTTAACAAAATAACTGCCTGCTTAAACTGATTGTGCAGGTCAATATTCCCAAGAGACTGTTTAGGTTGGATGAATTAGCTAGTTAGTTGCGTAGTATTCTATTTGGCTGATTTATCTATTTTTTAATATCTTCTCATCGCAGTTCGAAATTGGAGTTTTTCAATGTTAGAGGGGGCAGACGAGCAGACAGTAAGCTGAATGTTCGGAGCAACACGAAAACAGCAATCGTATAAAGTGTAGAAGAGTAATTATATCATTATATATAATTAGATTTATTAATCAATTATTATTGGTGGTGTATTATTTTTTAGGAATGTTATTCGTTACCCTCCCCTAAATAACGGTTATAAGGTTTTAGCTTATCCGCGCAACTTAGTCTGCGTCTCTCAAAAAGAATAAATTTTGCCCGTGTTTGGCACATTTTTCATTGATGCTCGGCTCCTATCGGTCGTAGCGTGATGTTATATAGCTGACGGTCTTCCTCGATAAATGGGCTATCTACCTAATACTAAAAGAATTCAAACAAACAAACTCGTCAGCTTTATAAAATTACTTAGTATAGATTATTGTAACGGTACTCCATTGTACAAAAAAAAACAATTTCATAATAACGAAACAGATGGTTTAAGGGTATTGACTGCTTAAAACTGGATTGACAAAAATTTGTTTGGTGCAGATAACACATAAACCCATAATACTTATACACTCATCTTTACTCGAAAATGCATTTCTTTATATTTGTCATAGTTTAGTGCCTCGGTCGGCACTTTTACATTTTATCTTTACGACAATATTTGCTTATTCGCCCTCAGTGCACACAACGTGCCGAGCTTTCGATTATACAGTGTACTTTAAAGTATAGGTATGTTAAAGTACTCACGAAATAAGTTGTATGCGGTTATCGCTTTTAAGAGTTATAAACTTATTTAACACAACACTAGCTGATGCCTGTGGCTTGACAACTTTTTTTTTTGTGGTTGGCGGTTAGAATGATATAATATTTGTTAATTTTAAGGATCGCTCGCCAGAGCTTAAAATTTAACGACCTAAGTGTGTTGAGTAACTCTTCGTAAAAGATTTGCATACAGGTAATGAATCTAAGACCAGGGAGGTGTAGCATCTGTCACCCTAGCAGAAGCAGGCCGCGGCGGCGCGATGCGCTGCGTAGCGCGCGTGCCCTTTGTAGGCGTAGAAAGGGAACAACACACGATTGGGTCATCTAGAAGCCGTAGATGAGTAGTAACAGGTATTTACTGCCTAGGTTACACGTGGTTCCCCGGCTACTTCGGTTCGTGTCCCACATATACACCCTAGCACTCATCGTACCTACCTATCTACATCGGTTTAGCCTTTAATGGGCAAATAGTCAAAGATCACAAGTATTTTGGAAATTAAAAGAGGTATCTAAGGGTCACCTTCTTAAAATTTAACAAAAAATATCCACAACTATGACGCATGTCAGGAGATCCTTGTCAATAGCTACGATAAGGAAAGGCTTACTTTCATTTCGAATTTGAGTAGTTACGTTGTTGTTTCTTCAATCATATTTTTATATTCATTAGTTTACTGAACCTACATGAAAATATGTCACAATTAAATAATGCAATATTTGATTGATGAAAGAAAATAGTAAGGTGTACCAGTTACTGCGAACATAGATAGATCCACATACTTTAAGCGCCCTGCGATACCCAGGATCACAAGTGTATCTGACAAATAGATGCGGCAAAGACTACTTAGGATGCGGCAAAGAGTAGGATTCATTAAAAATCAAAATTCGACGATTTAAGTGACGGCGTAAAGAGAATCGTACTGATATAAAAACAAATGCTTATACCGAATGTGGTCACGTTGATATAGTTAGGTTAAAAAGGAGAACTTAGTTGGATTAAATGCGGTGGGGGTGAAATATCGTCTATATATTTATTTATATTGCTAATAAATAAATACATAATATATAAATAAATATCGTAAATAATAGTTAAGAAACCTTGCGATTGTGAAAGATACCAATTGCGAAATTTAGGCTATTGACAAAACTAAGCTTATAAGTGGAAGATCAATTACGAATTCGACCGTACGCGCCGAAACGGTATTTTAGAAATATATTAGTATGTTTATTTCGAAATATATTGAATGATTTTGTTTATTTTTTTGTATATTCTTTGCACTTTAATACTACTACTAACTTTAATACTCGACCAGTGTTGAAGCGTCATATTCATATGCGCCTACAATAAGATTTGCAGCAAACCTTCCATCACCACTTGTTGTTTGTGTTAGGTACTAATGATGTTGTCAACTTCAAACTTCACTTGTAATAATCGTAATCTTGTTAAGTCTACTTTATTTTAACTAGCCTCAACAAGATTATTACACGTACATATATGTTTAACTGTTAATTATTAACTATATTATCGGTATAAAACTTTTGCAGTGTTACTATTGTTTTAATTGACTTAATGCATTTAACAGTGATTTTAATTTGATCTGATTTATTTACTTCTAATTTGTGTAATAATAAGTTTTGTTTCCTAATGTTATGTTTTACTTTTAACACAGGCTTCTGTAATTAAATATACACCAGATCAATAATTTATTATTCTTTGTGAATTCTATGCGATATTCTTGTTGAAGATCCATAAAAAAAAAAACTATAAAGATTACCGGCGGGTCCTCTCGACCTACAACAATTTGAAATTATAAACTATACAAAAAATGGAATAGGAAAGGTAATAAATAATTATAATACGAAATACATTCTCTCACTTTATTCATACCATCACAAAACAACAGCAAATAACAACACGCCAATAGCTTGAATGGGAAAACAAAAGTGAACTATTCTCAAAAGCTCATTTCACAAACACGGCAAGATACTCGTTTTATTTTCCCACGCAATCTATACAATACAAACAGTGTATTTAAATTAATACTTAAATTAAGAACAATTTTCATACCAATATTTATTTACATTAGGCCTTCCTTTACTGCTAAAACAGATAAGCAACTTCTGCTTCTTGAAAAGAAATCTCTTCTTACTACCCTCAACCCAATTACTAGTCTTAAACCTATTCAACATATCTACGTCTCTACCACAGTCCTAAAATCATTGCTCATTGCACGCATTACAAATGAGCACTTTCGCAAAATTTCTTTTTCAAAGAGACTTCTGCCTGTGTTGAATAGTCTTATCCCTCCTAGGTGCTTTTCTTACCCAAAATATACATCTTACTGCCAAAATACCGGACATGATGTTGCGAGTCTGCTTTAGCGATACTGTTTTGTTAAAGCTGTTGTTCAAAGATACAATCACATTTTCTCAATAGATGAGTAGCAACTGTAGCATAATGCGAGGTCAGGTTTGTCTTAATTTGATAAACATGAAAACGAAAAGTTAATACAAGCCATTTTTTGACAATACCTTGTAAATAACTGTATTTAAAGTTTTACTATCGCGTTAAGAAACTAGTGACTCATCGAGGGTAAAGGTGTATTCAGGGTGCAGTAAAAATTTAAACAATTTACCTTTGTACAACAAAAGCGGAGGGTTAGCCGTACGAGTCAGTATTGTCTTACGACACAGCGAATTAACATCGGAGCGACTTTCTAGTGCGACTCACGAGTTATACAGTGTTTTCTTGTTTGTAATAGTGAGTGTTTGCAAATACAGTGGGAAAACGAATGTCATGTCCCTCCAACACAAAGGGAGGATCCTCCGACCAAGCGAGGTGATCATGCCTGGCGGGCCGCGGCCCAACGGTTGATGTTGGGAAGTTGTATAAATGCTAATCGGCGAGAAAATTCTTCATATCGCGATACAGGATTAGCAATTCTTATTCAGGAGTCCATCTAACGAAGTCAACGAACTGCGCTGTAGTATGTTTCTGTTTTTTTGTATGTAGGACATCGCCACATTTCGGTATAAAAGTCTGATCAATGTGAACTTGGCTTTTTAAGTTTTTTGGAACCTAATAGATCAGTCATTATTTTCTTAACGCGAATAGAGTATAGTATGAATATTTTCACTGGTTTCAAATCAATATTAAGAACAAGCTATGAGATACAAAGGAGTCGACAAGAAAGTTTGATGAATGACCTCACGCCGCACTACCGCCGTCTGCTCCTCACTCTAACTCAATCACAGTATCGCTATTGCGCAATGGTCAGCTTGCATGGTACAGGCCAGCGAGGGCATCCTGTAAGGCGCGCAAGCACGGCAGTGTAGATTTGTAGCCACCGGCCTTCTCTGTTTCGTTCTCTGCTCTGTAGATAAGAAAAAAAACTATTGTTAAATATAACTTGATATTAGTTTTAAAAAAGATATTTGAAGTGCATAAGAACTAATGTGCAATTTATGATGTTTTGAAAAAATTATCAAGTGACTAGATATGGAAGAGCTATGGCCATTTTCTTATCATTGTTTGCATTATCACGCCTCTGCTGTGTTAAATTTTTAATAAATGGAGATAATTTTATAATATTACATTTATAGATAAATAAATGGCAAAAAGAATTCCATATTTTAATTCTATGATACTGTTGTAAGTTACTTATTACAAAAAATATTATCAGTATAGTGCAGGTACTTAGGATTGAAAATAAAAAAGGTTGTGAATAATTTTATAGAAAACGATCACAGAACTATGCGCGAGCGACGGACATACGTTACGCAGAGACTATATATATATATGTCGGCACTGTTCGCGCGTTCGCAAGATGCGTGTTAAAAAGATCGTCCTTCGCTCGCGCGAGTTTGTGTGTCATCGCCAAACGGCGCGGCGACGACGAAGCAGCCGCTCGCCATACTATAATATATTTATTTTATTTTTTTATTTATTCATTTCTCATCGAGTAACAAAACTCATAGTGTTAGTAACAATTTGACTTATAACTATGTTAGTAAATGAAAAATAAAAACACTATAATATATAAAATATCTATATTATAAAAAAATCAGTTTGTCCGAGAGAAACAAAGTATTGATATTTTATAACATACATCGCACCTTTAAAGACAAACCGTTACTAAACGAAATTTTTGGAGAATTGAGTTATTAATGTCATCTTTCTTAAAACTACGTAAACTATACGATGAGTTTGACACTGTTCAAAAAAATCCAATTTTAGACATAGATGGCGTCGGTTTTGACCGTTACAAAACTAAATAAGATTTGCTTGCTAAATGCAATATCGTGTCTATACTAATTGTGAATTGTTCGTTAAAGAGTGATGACGAAAGTTTGACGGAAGTTTAGTGACAACTTGCCGTGGTTTAAAACTAGATACTGAATAAAGACTGATTATTAAGACATCCTAGCAATGCTAAAGATTTAAGTGCCATAATGACAAAGAAATGTATGGATCTCGCGTTTTAAATGAGAATAAAACATTGATTAGAATGTGTTATTTTATTTATCTGTCCAGTTACAATTTGAGCGAATGCTAATTATAATATTTTCAATTAAGTAGTATTGTAAAATCATTATTATTATGGGTTTTCAAGTATTTTATATTTTGTTACATAATTTATATGGGGATTTTACAATAATTAATCATAATTGAAAAAATAATAATGGAAAAGTGTTACTATAAAAATTTAAAATCGTAATTAACAATGTTCTATTTAAAAAAAATAGCTTTTCTGAATTTAATGTTATAGTGTAAATAAATATCCATCATTATGACCATAAAGAATGGCTCAAACCACCATGATCTTAAATGCTATTGCAAAAAGGTCCTCCATTTTTCTTATTTTAGCTCCTGTGTAAAATTGTATATTTTCGTTTAGAAACGGTTTGTCTTTAAAGGTGCGACATATTAAGGATGTCTCAGTAAGAGTGCAATTTTTCATTTTAAAATAAAAACACGTATTTTATGAAAGACCCAGATATTTTTATTGGATTGTAAAGAAGACATGTTCCGATTAAGTGTGGAATAAAATATCCGGCACTGATGACAGGCCATTACTCTTTTCATGATATTTTCCATGACTTTTACACAGAGATGTGGATGACGCGTTAGATCTCTGATTTGGGCTCAGGAATTGTTTTTGGTTTATTAGCATTAACCCGAGATTTCACAAAACCCCAAAGAAAAAACGCACGGCGTTAAATCGCACTATCTTGGTGGCCAGTTGACTTCAGAATTTCGTGAGATAATGTGTTCTGGAAATCGTTTCTGCAATAAGTCGATTCGTTTCATGCGCGGTGGTGCCGTCCTGTTGAAACAACATGTTGTCCAGATCCATGCCGTGCAGTTCAAGCCACAAGAACTCCATTATCATATTCCTGTAACGAATGACGTTCACAGTCACTGCAATTTCGGCCTCATCTTCATAAAAGTAAGGCCCTATCACGCCGCCTGACCAACATCCGCACCAGACAGTTGCTTGTTGTTGTTTTTTGTTTCTCAATGATTGCAATAGGATTTTCTGAGCCCCAAATTCGACAATTTTGTGTATTCACGTAGCCAATTCAGATGGAAATGCGCTTCATCGGAGAAGACGACTTCACTTTGCTCCATTACCCATTGACCGAATTGCTGGCGCTTTCGGCGACACTCGTTTACAGCAGCAATGTAACGAACGGTACGTTAACGCAAAGGATTCTTAGTATCCATAATCGACCCAGTTTCTTCAACTTTTTGACCACCAATTATAACATAACATAACATCACCCGTGTAACGTCTGCAGTAAAAAAGGGCCAAGTAAAGTCGCGGCGCAGCCCTAAGTTTAATTTAAAATTTATATACCCGTAAGTTTTTGTACCATTTGCGGCACACAATTCTAAATTATTACAAGAGGGTTTCTTTTTAATTTTACCCACCGGGAACATACACAAATCACTGCCCGTGTCCACTAAAAATTTTACCTTTGAATTCTGGTCCGTGATAAATAGGCGACAAGGTATAAGGACAATTATATAAGGTAAGGACAATTCTAGATCGCCCCCGTCGTTTCCCGCGTAGTTGCAGGCTTCACACAGTACTTCGCTCTGTCGCCGAATTTGCCGTAATACCAACAAAGAGGTTACTTGCTACAGTTTGCTGGCGAACGGGTCCTGCTGCTCCGACGACGTTGGCGGCTGTGACTGGCTGATCGGTCACGCCCTCGAGACCGCCTCACTTCCACCGAAAGCGCTTTTACCTGTTCGGTAAGCGCTGCAATCTGTCGTTCTATTGATGCGATGTTGGGGGTAGGTGGCATGTTCGAAGTCGACGCTACTTGCGGGTTGGAGCAGACGACATCATGAACGCGGTCTGCCAGCTCTGCTAACTCCTCTAGCGTGGCCTTTGGTTGTGACGAGATGATAGTCTGCGTCCCCGGTGGCAGACGGCTTGTCCAGATCGTCCGAAGGAAGTCCTCAGGAATGCCGGGGCCGTCCAGATTTTGTAGGTGGCGGAAGAACTGAGACGGTTTCCTGTCTCCAAGTTGCTCATGGTCAAGCAGCTGTTTCAATTTCCGCTCACGGGACGCCAACAAACGCTTGATGAACTCCTCCTTGAGCTTGTCGTATTTGTTACTCGACGGTGGGGAGGTGATGATATCCTCGACCTCGGCTGCGTACTGTTGATCCAGCTGAACGATCGTGTGATAGTATTTGGTACTATCGCTTGTAACATTGGCCAACACAAACTGGCTTTCCAGCTAGCGAACCATAATGCCGGTTTCTCGGGGTATAAGGGTGGTGCACGTACCCCAACATGGCATGACTCACCAGGATTTTGTGCAGTTTGGTCCGTCATGGTTCTGAAAGCTTCGGTTTTCGTGTCCAGTTCGGGGTCACCAATTATAGTGCGGATACTGACGATTGAATATAAAAAAAGGTTAGACGTAGATAAAGAAAGGTAACAGTTTATCACGGTTATCACACACAAGACACAAACAAGATTTAGAGTTTACAGTCACACGCACTATAATATGTTTTAAAAGACGATCACAGAACTATGCGCGAGCGACGGACGTACGTTACGCAGAGACTATATATATATATATGTCGGCACTGTTCGCGCGGTCGCAAGATGCGGGTTAAAAAGATCGTCCTTCGCTCGCGCGGGTTCGTGTGACATCGACAAACTGCGCGGCGACGACGAAGCGGCCGTTTGCTATACGTAATAAAAATCAGTTTGTCTGAGAGAAACATAAAGTATTAATATTTTATAACATACATATAGAATATGACAAATACAATCGTGAATAAATATGTCATTAACAATAATAATTACTATTAAATTATTATTATCTGAGTATTATTTAAAACACACGCGTCTACTGTAATACATTTACACAGTTAAACATTTTACGACTACAATAGAAATTACACGCTACAGCATTTACACATAGTTACACATTTTACAAGAAAAACAGCAATTAAACGCTACAATCAGTTTCATCATCACTCCCTTAATGATTGTCCTCATAGTTTTATATCTCATATTAAGTCTACGATCAAATAATCGAAGTGAACTTATAAGAAAAATGAAAGATAAGAAGAGATAAGAAAAATGAAAAAAAGGCAGTGCAGAAATGAGTCAGTCTAAATATCTTCAACACTGACACTGACAATCTTCTTCAAATCTTATTAGGTTTATACCTAATAAGATTTGCATGCTGTCAGTGCGGCGACGGATTAAGAATACAGAGTGTCACCACCCCTATTCATCCCGTGGGTGACGTAAGAGGCGACTAAGGGAGCGTACTACGCAGGACAACAGCACTGCAGAGAGAAGTAAATCTTGACACAAACCCTATACAAACCTGTCTGGCCAGCGTGATATAGTAGGCCAAAACCTCCTTTCTAAGGAGAGGCCTACGTCCAGCAGCGGACTTTAAAGGCTGTTGATGTAATGATGTGTGAAGATTTGCATAAGCAATACATTACTGTTTACACAACTGTACTAACCTGACATGCTTTAAGTAACCACCACTGATGATATTCTCAATAGAGGGTGGATCAGGACCACAGCGATCTGGCTGTATTGGAGGCTCATATTTGTACAATGGACCTTCTTCTATGAGTGGAATGGTTGGTTGTGTTGAGCCACGGTTGAATTTTATTCCCGTTGAAAATTGTGTTACCTGTAATTTTACATATTTTATACAATATAAATAACACATTAACAGTGCAGCAGTTAACTTTTAAATTTATTGTAATACTTGACATATATACAGAATATATTATATATAATTAGAACAGCATAATAGATTGTTCTTTGGTCATAATAAATTTGTTTTGTTTTACATACCTTTGGTACTGGAGGCAACACCTCTGGTTTATTAGCTTTACTCTGAGCAAATGTGTTGAGAATTTCTTTGGCATCGCCCTCAGCAAACATGAGCTCATCGATTAGAGCCTCCTTTTCTCTTATTTTTTGTTTCTTGGCTTCCTGTTCCATTCGGATTATTTCTGCTCTACGCAAATCTTCCATTTGCTTCTCTATCTCTAATATTTCTTCTAGTTCAACTTCTTCTCTACCTGAAATTTTGATCAAAAAAGAACAATAAGATAATTTATTTTGACCACCTTTTTCACCTCTCTAAAACCTCAACCTGCATTGTTATTAATTGCATTAAATGTTTTATTTTAAAATAGCCAAAAGCATTGTGTCATATAGGATTTTTAGACTTATGACATTTCACATCCATGACAAGACATTTTTGTATTATCATTCAATATCAATAATAATATTATGGTTCAATAATAATATCTTTTTAAAATATAAAAAGCAATGATTACAATTTTAAAAGATGAAAGTTTATATTTTAACTATGGTGTCACCTCAGTTTCTTACCTATTTTTGCCTTATTCTTTGAAATAATCTCCTTGTTATCCCTTTTGTACTGTTCTATTCTTTTATTTGTCCCAACAATATCAATATTGTTTGTTAAATTATAAACAATTGTTTCTATCTCCTCCAAATAATCATTGTATTCTCGTAATGTTGCAAAATCCTCCTCTTTTTTGTTATAATCTTTTAACACACGCTTTCTTATATCAATTTCTTTTTCTACCATCGCATCTTCAAATAGTTGTACTCTAAAGTTATTACGACGAAGTGGTACATTGCAATCCGGACATGAACCAGATCCTATTAATGAAAAATTAAGCTTTTAAGTTTATCTAATTTTGAGAGGCCTATTAGTCTAGTCACTAGACTAATAGGCCACTAGACTCTAGTGGTTAGTGACCCTGACTGCTAAACCGGAGGTTGTCGCTATGATTCCAACCCAGGATTAATAATTGTATGATGAGCATGATGATTTGTTCTGTGTCTGGATGGAATTTATCTATATGTATGTATTTAGAAATATATAAGTATGTTTATCAGCAGTCTGGTTATTAAAGCACAGGCTCTGCCTTGTTTGGAATCAGATGGCCATGTGTGAGATGTATGAAGTTATTATTATAATTTAAATATGATGAGTAAACAGGGATATCATTACAATGTGAGAGATTGAATTGCATTAATCGCAAAGAAGGTGCCTCTAATACATTGAAAGAACAACATTAAGATGGACAGGAAACATCGTGATACTGGTGATATATACAAATAAAATAAAAATAAACAAATAAAAATATATAGAATATATTATATTATCATTTGTTTATTTTTAAAAGCTGTCGGATGACTTCCACAACTTCTACTTAATATATGATTTGCCTAAAGACTAGGGGTTTGACCAAATATTTTACAACCATATAAGATTTTGTTGTTTTTTTTTGGTTATTGAAAACATGTTGATAGAACCTCACTATCCTTACATACTTCACGAGCAACCACTATTGGCATTTAACCTTATACATAAGTCTACTGCTTTCGGGTACTTCTAATTAGCCTTTTTTTTAAGAAAAACACTAATTTAGTTTAGTAAATGTACTACAGGTCGATACTAATTTAATTTTTTCGAAGTTAATTTTAAATAGACGTGTATAATTTAAAGAATATTCTTACCTTTCAAAAACAACAAATCCACACAACTTTCGCATAAGGCATGGCCACATACATTTACCATCAACTTAAGCGAGGGATTTCTATACTTCGTCGTTTTACAACGCGGACAAGCCTGGTCGTCCATATTTCTGTAATTAAAAACGTAGTTACTGAAAAAGAACAATGAACATTTCCCGCTATATTCTTAAACAACCCTACAAACTATTGTACTATTAATCACCCATTGAATTGAAAGTTAAAGTTGACAATTTATAATGACAGATGGTTAAAGCATTTGGAACGACCGACAGCTTGACATGACATAGAAGTGTGTGTGACCATCTCCAAATCGTAAATAACCTACCCTCTTTTTTGTCACTTCTCAATCATTAATTGCGTTCCATAATGTTGAACCATTATGAACCCTGTCGGGCATAGCAAAAGGTTAGGAGAGAGGAAGAAAGCTAAGTAGTAATAACTTAATACAACTAAAAACTAATTCTCATTTTTTTTAAATTAATTATCGTTAGTGTGCTATTCCTTACTGCAAGAACAGTAGTGGGAAACACCTTTTTTCTCATATAGAGTAAAATACCCTATGTTCACACTGCAATCATTCATCTCAACAGGAATCATTAATGTCAACGGTTAACAAAAACAGCTAACAAAAGAGCTAATGAAGGCATAACTTTTTCATAGGCTTTGAATCACTACAGTATAACTGACTTGACTGCACGGATGGCATGGCGGATGGATACTAATACAATTTTCTTTTAAATTACAAAGCTATATAATAGTATAGTAGCCTTTTACAGCCAAGCACAGCATGCACAAATTATTTACAGCTGATAAAGTGAAGTTATACAGTTACAAAAACAAACAAGCAGTGATTAATGCAGTAGCCATAGGCCACTTTCGTTCCCATGTCTCCTAGGCTATGGCAAGCTTAATGTGGTCGCCAGACTGTACTATAGTACCCCAGTATAGTACGAACGAGGTAATTGGAGAGTATGATTTTTGTATTGTGCGATTGAAAAACTCTGACGTTTCTATGCAAAAATTCCAACATATTGCATGCTCGTGTAATAATATGTTCCAGGTGCGGTACAAAAGTGCTATCAAATAGCACTCCCTAGTCTTTTATTTCGGTCACTTCTTGATTTACATCGGTCCCGATATAATATATAGATGTGAAAGGTTTTCTGGTGAACTTAATATGGTAACATTTCTTGGTACTTAAGCTCATAAAGTTGTTATTGCACCAATTAGCAAGTCTGTTAATGTCCTCTTGCAATAATTATATATAACAGAATTTAAGATCGTTGGCACATGCTAAATTAATTGAGCGAAAGCAGTGAGTGACATCATTAATGTATAAATTAAACAGAATCGGACCAAGATGCGAGCCCTGCAGTACGCCAGAAACCATTCTACATATGTCCGAATCAAATGCATTGACAGCCACAAAGTACATGTTGACCTAGAACTAGTAATACCGTGCTGCGAGCTGCTTATGTACGGTTTAAGGTAACTTTGAATAAGGGGACATCAAAAGGATTCAAATACTTTTGCAAAAATACACAGAATTGAGATATTATATATTTAATAACGTTGTCAGTATCGTCACATTTATGTATTGACACGACTTTCGTTGGCTTCCAAATGTCGGAAAATATACCAGTTGATAAAGACCTATTATAAATTAATGACAAATTAAAAAAAAAACGTCCGTGTGGTGACGGATTAAGAATATAGTGTCACCATCCCTATTCATCCCGTGGGTGTCGTAAGAGCCGACTAAGGGAGAAAGCTATACACAACAACAGCACTGCAGAGAGAAGGCAAACTTGACACAAACCCTATACCAACCCTTCTGGCCAGTGTGGACTATTGTAGGCTGTTGATGTGGTGATGATGATGTGAATGATAATGGCACCGCAAGTTGAGACACACACATTGATATAAAAATTGGTGGGATACGAGTACCATCTGGACCAGCACCTTTTGCGGTGGTCTAGCGATTTAAATTTTGTGATAAGACATTCAGGCCGTATAGGTGGTACAGTTAGTGGAATAACGTGACTATTTGTTAGTGCTAAGTGATCTGATGCAATGATGTTCTGCGTAGAAGAATCAATGTGTAGCGAACATTTCACTTAATTTTTGACAGTCACATGTTGTTGAAGTACCATCTGTCATAATTACCGGCAGTGAACTAGTCCCGACCCCTTTTCTGTTTTATGTATGTCCATAATCGGTTAGGATCTTTACAGAGTTCACGTTTAATCTGGCGATAATAGGTATTCTAGCACCTTACATTTAGTGCCGAATAAGTAAGACCAGTTCGAGTTTATCCATAGGGTTTTAGTACATTTTATAACGTCTTCTAACCTTGTCTTTGTCTTTAAATGGCTTTACCAATCAAACCATTGGTAAAGGCATTAAAAGATAATTAAAAATAAACAATTTTGTTGTTGTTGTTATCTTTTCATAAAAATATTAACCATTTCATCGACACCTCGAGCAACCTTTAACATTGCAGTCTAGTGCAACTCATGTAGCGTTTTTTAATGCTTGCGTAATCTGCTTTGTAACAATTTAACCTTCTGTTAGTAGGTACTATAAGGTAGTCTTGCATCTGCGCTCGTACTTATGGTAAGCAAAAAGGGAGGGTGCAACAGATCAATTTTGCTAAACGGGTTCGTTGTTTCAGTAATAATGCAAGAAGGTAAGTTGGTTAATATGATATCTAGTATTCTACCACTTTTATTTGGTATATTATTAGTTTGGGTGAGTTTGTTTAAGAAAAAATTGGTTAAGACGTGACATTAACAGTTGTAGAGTCGCGAGCCACACTCCAGTCGATAGTACCCAAGTTAAAGTCACCTGCTGTACATATACACGTACATAATCCACACTGTTCAAAAATAGAATTACACTTGTCAGTAAAGTACTCTATCGTCACTCGTTGCACGGGGGGGTGGCAAATATACTGCGCACAGGGCTACTTGGCTGATTGTTTTGAATTGGAGCATCAACAACAATTCAGAGGTCCTCACAGCGACTCTCCCACATACGCATACGCTTTGACCCCTCCACCATCTCTCTTACTTCCTTTTTTTTTACGTATGGAAATCCCCTCGGACCGTCACCCCGCCGGGGTTCTCTATTCGGCGGGGCGGTGTGTCGGACTCGAACCGACTAAAACCACACGGTGTGCCCTCTTTGCGCTTCTATTTTGGGAGGGGTCCAGGTAGTTATCGCCGTCTGGACCCCTCCCAGCGCCGGCCCGCTCCTGGTGCGGGCTTCGTCTCAAAAATATCCTCTCTTTAGGCGACGTCCGGCACACGCGGACGCCGCCCTCTCGCGGCTGGCCAAACTATTGCGGGTGGAGGAGAAAACCCGTCCCGTCTACCCGCGGCCACACTCAGGGCGGCATGAGGCGCAGGTGAGCGCGCCTTCGCCGCCCGGTTCGCCGGCGGCGGATCGGGTCCGAGTGGAGGTCGTCCTCCCGGGCCTTCTCCGCCGCCTCCTTCTGCGAGATTACTTCCTCGCGGAAGGTTGCGACCGCGGTAAAACAACTTTAGTTCGCTCTATGGCCGGTAGCGAGAGAGTCGCCCATGCGGGGCAGACCGCCAGCGTGTGCAATTCCCTCCTAGCGACCGAGTGCAGCAACCGTGCACGGAACGCACCTGCGCACACCGGTGCACCATACAGCGTCATGGACCCGACAACCCCCGCGTACAGCCGCCTCGTAGGAACACTGGCCCCGCCCAAATTGTGCAAAAGTCGCCCTAGGGCGGAGGCAGTGTCAGGAGCTGGGCAGGGCGGAGGCAGGCCCGGGAACAGGCCAGGTACCACAGGAGACTCAGGCGCCGGCGGTCGCAAAACGACCTCCGTCCTCCATAAGCGCAGGTCTGAGGGTGACAGGTGAGACCATCTGTCACCCTAGCAGAAGCAGGCTGGGTAGGCGGCCTGTGGAGCGCGTTGCATTTAAGTTGTAGAAGGGGAACACCGTGGTTTATCTCACACACTCATCATCTGGGGGTCATCTGCAAGCCGTAGATTGCCCGGGGTCCGATAGGGTTCCAGGGATTTCCTTTCGATTCCTTTCGTGATTGAGATGGCGTGCGGTTTTTGGTCGGTTCATGTCCGAGATAACCACCGGTGGGTGGTATCTGAAGGGATTTCCGCAAAGACAAAAAAAAAGCATTGCAACTAAACTATACTTCATACAGTGCTCATATTTTTAATAAGAATCTTGTCATAATTTTCATTCTTTCTAACCTAAATACGACCTTTGCACACCCATACATACCTGTACCCCTTTTCCCTGGCTTTCAACCTAGCGGCGGCGTGCAAAGACTTGTTTCTCGAAGATAGGTGTTCTGTAATAAATATTGGCGTTTTATGACCAGTGTATCCAGGGGGAGAGTTATTTAGTTTATTGTGTGGATTCTGTCTATTGTAGAGTAATGTAAATGCGAGAAGTTGATCATGGAGTCTAGTGGAAGCGATTGAACGTTGGCCGAGAACTTTTGTTGTCAAGTTTAGCCACTATAGTACAATTAATGATATCTTTGTCTTCAACATCGCAACCGACAGCTTTTGATATATTTGTTCCAACATGTATCAAGTTTTTACTTTTATTCTCTGGCACACATTGAATGTCCATATTATTTGATCGCGATTGCTGCTCCAATTGGCAAATTCGCATAGTTAAGTCGGTAATATAATAATAAGAGAATAATAATATGATTTATTTCACAATATGGCACAAAAATACATAAACAGCATAACAAACACGATATTCACAGTATTTACGATAAACTCTGGTACCCAGAATAAGATTCAACTTGTGTTTAGGGTACCAGCAATCTAGCGCACACCATAAAAATACGTCGCTAATACTTGTTAGACATACACAGCGTTTATATAAAAACAAAATACAAAACTAATAGACAAATAAGAAAAATATATAAATGGTAGAATAAATAAACTTAGGTGGAATGTGGATGCCCGTGTGTGTGTGTGTGTGTATTTGTGTGTGTGTGTAGGTTAGCTGTGTTTATACGTTGTAGTGATTGTACATATCGGTGAGTGTTATGTATCTGGTATGTCCATATTTGCAAGAAACATATAAAT